TATACACTACGCCCATCCCCTGACTCCATCCCTCCTGCGATGACAAGCTCTCCACTATGGATTCCAGCAGCTGCTCCTTCCGAAGGTTTCTGCCGTCGCGCTTCTGCGGCAGCCCCAACATAGCGCACAGCTGCCGCAGGTCGGAAGTGCTCTTGGCCTCCAACTCGGTCCGCAACCATGCCGCGCCTCCCTCTCCATGTCCCTCTCGCAGGCGCTGCACCTCTGGCTCCTGCTGCCCTGCTTCCTGTATCGGAATTTGCAGGGATATCAGAAGCAGACACCTATTGGAGCACAAGAAAGCAGCGTCTCAACTAAGTTGAACTGTACACTGCACCCATCCCCTAACACAAATTGGGTATCTTAACAAAGATTGCAAGTCTTATATCTAGATGTCTTTCACGAAACCGTCCTCAACGTTCGGATGTGCCGGTGCCTGTCAGGGATTTTGCTTGGATACCAAAAGCAGACACCCATCCCCGAACACAACCCACTTCAGCACAAACAGCTTCTGTGAAAAGTTAAACACCGCTCTACGCCCATCCCCTGACTCCATCCCTCCTGCGATGAGAAGCTCTCCACTATGGATTCCAGCAGCTGCTCCTTCCGAAGGGTTCTGCCGTCGCGCTGCTGCGGTACTTCCAACTTCGCGCACAGCTGCCGCAGGTCGGAAGTGCTCTTGGCCTCCAACTCGGTCCGCAACCATGCCGCGCCTCCCTCTCCATGTCCCTCTCGCAGGCGCTGCACCTCTGGCTCCTGCTGCCCTGCTTCCTGTATCGGAATTTGCAGGGATATCAGAAGCAGACACCTATTGGAGCACAAGAAAGCAGCGTCTCAACTAAGTTGAACTGTACACTGCACCCATCCCCTAACACAAATTGGGTATCTTAACAAAGATTGCAAGTCTTATATCTAGATGTCTTTCACGAAACCGTCCTCAACGTTCGGATGTGCCGGTGCCTGTCAGGGATTTTGCTTGGATACCAAAAGCAGACACCCATCCCCGAACACAACCCACTTCAGCACAAACAGCTTCTGTGAAAAGTTAAACACCGCTCTACGCCCATCCCCTGACTCCATCCCTCCTGCGATGAGAAGCTCTCCACTATGGATTCCAGCAGCTGCTCCTTCCGAAGGGTTCTGCCGTCGCGCTGCTGCGGTACTTCCAACTTCGCGCACAGCTGCCGCAGGTCGGAAGTGCTCTTGGCCTCCAACTCGGTCCGCAACCATGCCGCGCCTCCCTCTCCATGTCCCTCTCGCAGGCGCTGCACCTCTGGCTCCTGCTGCCCTGCTTCCTGTATGGGAATTTGCAGGGATATCAGAAGCAGACACCTATTGGAGCACAAGAAAACAGCATCTCAACTAAGTTGAACTGTACACTGCACCCATCCCCTAACACAAATTGGGTATCTTAACAAAGATTGTTGGGTATCTGAACAAAGATTGAAAGTCTTATATCTAGATGTCTTTCTCAAAACCATCCTCAACGTTCGGATGCGCCGGTTCCTGTCAGGGACTTTGCATGGACACCAAAAGCAGACACCCATCCCCGAACACAACCCTCCCTGCGAAGAGCAGCTCTCCACTATCCAGTCTAGCCAACACTCACTTCAACACAAACAGCTTGCGCGCAAAATTGCACTAAACACTACGCCCATCCCCTTACTCCATCCCTCCTGCGATGAGAAGCTATCCACTACGGCTTCCAGCAGCTGCTCCTTCCGAAGGGCTGTGCCGTCGCGCTGCTGCGGCAGCCCCAACAAAGCGCACAGCCGTCGCAAGTCGGCGCGGTTCTTGGCCTCCAACTCGGTCCGCAACCACGCCGCGCCTCCCTCCCGGTGTCCGTCTCGCAGCCGCTGTGCCTCTTGCTCCTGCTGACCCGCTGCCTCCGCGTTTCGCAGAACTGCGTCCTGCAGACTGGCCATGGTCCGCGCGCCTCTTGACGAGAAGCTTCTGAGGTGTGTTGAAACTTCTTGCAAGTACATTCTTCACGACTCTTGCCTTGCTGTACGTTCCCGGCTACAGTCTGTGGAGACTTGCGCGAACTCACTTGGAAATTGCTGCGGTCTCTCTGCTTGAGCCACGAACACGCAACGAAACAATTTCATGAACATCTGCTTTATGCTGGCTTTGCCACCTACTATCTATACATACATATATACATCTATATAAGAATACTATGGCAGCCAGCGTGCTGGCTTTGCCATCTAGATTATGGGAGCCAGCTCACTGGCTTTCCCACTCCACTATGATGGCAGCCAGCGTGCTG